TTTAGTTTAATATAAAAGAAATCACAAAGGATTTAAAATACTCACAATAAAAAAAGCAAAACATAAAATGCTTCAAGGAGCCAAACTATAAACATTAAAGATAAAGAATCAAATCGAGATAAATAAATTGTATTTATATAGCTAAATATATTGCCTTGGGTTTTGGTAAATTTTAAAAGCAGTGAGTTAAATAAATGAAACTACCAAATAATTGTTTTTAACAAAAGAATGCAGCATTATTATTTTATGATAATTGGATAATGAATCAATTCAACTATATTTTGAAGTTCAAGTTTAAATGGTGAAAAAACAATTAAAATTTTTGGTTGCTGTTTTTTCTTCGGTGTCTCCCAACACCCCGGTATAGATGAGCCCTCCATTTGAAGGAGGGCTCATCCATTCCACCATTATCTCTCCACTTGTTGAAGGACCTCTCCAGGTGTTGGGAGCGGTAAGTTTTATAATAATTGTATGATAAGGAATCTAAAGTCACAAATAGAAGAATATAATAAAAATTATACATTTGCAAGTATTTAAAAAAAAATTAGCGTAACTCACCATTTTCATTCGAAACAGAAGATGCTAAAAAAAAAAAAAAAAAAATGAAAGCAAATTAAAAAGTGTTAAACATGCAACATTTTGTATTTTAATAAAATTATAGCGCAATAATGCAACCAGTTCAAAAGTGTCATATTTATTAATTAATTTTTCCACCTATTGCACATATTTCTCCCATGGCCTACTATATAACACAGCCGGATTTATTGCCTTGAACGCAAAAAATTAGTGGGCCGATTTTAGGTTTTTAGCTTTTGAATCAAAACCTGAAGATAATTCTGTAAAGACATTAATAATATTTAAATAATTTGCTCTTAGCTAAAATTTTTACTATTACCAAAATTCTTAACCTTTAAATACTAAAACAGTTAGCTAATAATAAATCATGATTGCATTAAGCCGAATGAACTATCTATTTTAGCCATCAAATTTAATCTACAAAATCTTAAAGTCTTAAAATTATTGGCTCAAACAACTAAAATTAACAAAAATGTTAGTAAATCTAGCATAATTTTTAATGTACACATTTACTGAAAGTATTTATATTACAAAAAGTTTAACCAAGTCAAGTTTATTTTGTTTCTCAAAAAAAATATATACATATACTATGTTGTTATGGGTTTATTCATTTGTCTTTTTTGGTTTGTCAAACTTTAAAGGCAGCAACTTCATTTTTTCTAATGTTTCTGTTTTTTATTTGTTGCTCATTGTTAAAATATATGTTGGTAATAATTGTGTTTACCAAATTCCTTCCCTATTCCTCATGTTCTATACATAAAAAATCACTATCACTTGGTTGATATTTTTCTAGCGCTAGCAAGGATGCATTTTTTATATCATGGGAATACTTTAATAACATTTTCTTTACAGTGTCCAGAATTATAAACCCATTACAAGCATAGTTAGCTAATGCTTTGGAAGGTTTTGTTAAACCACCACGTGAAAGAATTTCCAGATATTCTGTTGAGACTTGATTGAAATTTAATGATTTCAGACAGTTAGCACAGTTAAATTTATCCCTAATCTTTTTCGTGATGTAACCAGATATATTGATTGCAACTTCGTAAGAGTCATGACAAAGCTCATTCTCTTGAATTTCTATATTTTTCCAATTTTATTAAAAGTTCATTTTTGCAACACGTATTTAAACAGGTTATTAACGCGAGTTTATAAATTTTTTTCTCCTAACACACTATTATCCTGCCGCAACTCCAAGGATATATATAGTTATATATATACATATATATATATATATATATATATATATATATATATATATATATATATATATATATATATATATATATATATATATATATATATATATATATATATATATATATATATATATATATATATATATATATATATATATATATATATATATATATATATATATATATATATATATATATATATATATATATATATATGTATATATATATATATATATATATTTATTTGTGAAAACATATGAAAACCAAAATTTTTAATATAATGTATATAGTATATATTTGATAAATAAACCTCTACAATTTCTTTGATTCAACAACTCGATTATGATTAATAACAACTCTGTAAACATGAATTTTCTAATAATTTAAATCTTAATTAATTAATAATTTTTAATAAACAATTAATTACTTATTTTTTATTAATTGACTTAATAAACAATTAATTACTTATTTAAACAAATAATTACTTATTAAATTTTAAAAAGATTTTGTATTTAATTAATGTCTACTTAGACATTGAAATACTTAATGTCTATTTAGACATTGAAAATATCAACAATTTTGAAAACCTGAAACTTTAAATCTACCTCAAAAAAAAACAGATATATATTGAAAAGTATCATTTCTTTTTAAAAATTTATAAATGCTTTTTAACTTACTCCCTCCAATATTATTATATAATTTATAGTATAAATTGATAAATAAACCTCTACAATTTCCATGGTTTAACAACTTGATTATGATTAAATAACAACTCTATAAACATGAATTTTCTGTTAATATAAATAAATTATAAACAATTAAACTTAGATAAAAACGTATGCAAATGATAAATGCTATATTAAGTACAGAAAAACAAACATATGATAACACAATTATATCCTAAACCAAAATTGATTAATGCAAGACAAATTATTATATATTTATTGAAATGCCAGAAACGTATTTTTTTTCAAAGAGCCAAAGTATTAACAATACTATAGATAAATTTTATTTATAAAAAAAAGTTGTCATGGCTTTTATTCCAATTATTAAAAGCATGTGAAAGCATGAAACTACCCATAAATAATATTATGGGTAGTTTATCTCTAACAGATAATGTATATATATATATATATATATATATATATATATATATATATATATATATATATATATATATATATATATATATATATATATATATATATATATATATAATATATATATATATATATGTATACAGATATATATATATATATACATATATATATATATATATATATATATATATATATATATATATATATATATATATATATATATATATATATATATATATATATATATATATATTTATATATATATATATATATATATATATATATATATATATATATATATATATATATATATGTATATATATATATATATATATATATATATATATATATATATATATATATATAT